TGCTAGGTCAGTAATTACTTTTCTCTCTTCCTCTGGCTTTGCAGACCAGCCTACCTGGGCAAAGTGGGGGCTCTCTGCATTCTTGGCCAAACAGTTTTTATTTTTTATTTTTTTGCTCGAGGGCTGGAGCGATAGCACAGTGGTAGGGTGTTTGCCTTGCATGCAGCCAACCCGGCCGACACGAGTTCGATTCCTCCACCCCTCTCGGAGAGCCCGGCAAGCTACCGAGAGTATCTCGCCCGCAGATACAGGCAGAACCTGGCAAGCTTCCCGTGACATATTCGAGATGCCAAACACAGTAGCAACAAAGTCTCCAATGGAGACGACGAACAACGGGAGGGCTTTTACCTTTACCTTTTTTTTTTTTGCTTTTTGGGTCACACCCAGCAATGCTCAGGGGCTACTTCTGGCTCTGCACTCAGGAATTACTCCTAGCGGTGCTTGGGGGACCATATGGGATGCTGGGGATCGAACCCAGGCCAGCCAGGCCAACGCCCTCCCCTGCTGGGCTATCGCTCCGGCTCCTGTGTTTTTTTTTTAAATCTTATTTATTTATTTATTTTTTTGTTTTTTGGGTCACACCCAGTGACGCTCAGAGGTTCCTCCTGGCTCTGCACTCAGGAATCATTCCTGGTGATGCTTGGAGGACCCTATGGGATGCTGGGAATTGAACCCGGGTCGGCCGAGGGGTGTGTGTGTGTGTGTGTGTGTGTGTGTGTGTGTGTGTGTGTGTGTCTGTTTTTGGCCACACCCAGTGATGTTCAATGGTGACTCCTGGCTCTGCACTCAGGAATCACTCCTTGGCAGTGCTCGGGGGACCCTATGGGATGCTGGGGATCGAACCCGGGTCGGCTGAGGGTTTTGTGTGTGTGTGTGTGTGTGTGTGTGTGTGTGTGTGTGTGTGTGTCTTTATTGGCTGCACCAGGCGATGCTCAGAGCTGACTCCCGGCTCTGCACTCAGGAATCACTCCTGGCGGTGCTCAGGGGACCCTCGGGGATGCTGGGAATCGAACCCGGGTCAGCCGCATGCAAGGCGAGCGCCCTTTCCACTGTGCTATCCCTCCGGCCCCCCAAAAGTTTTTATTTGTCCTAGTGGTCAGCTGTTTTGTTTGGGGGAAAAATGCTTTCTGCAAGAGAGCAACTGTCACCCCGCCAACGCCCTCAGTTCTAACACGGATGATGTGGTTGTTTCCTCTCCACTGGAGTGATGGAGCAGCTGGGATCTTATTTCAGAGCACAGGCACCCATGAGGACCGGGGCCAAGTTATTTTCAGGAAACCGAGTAAACAAATGCAGAGCGAAAAGCTGCCATCAAGGGGCCTTGCAGCTAATGAGCTGAAATTAAGTTTGTCTCTTGGACGGTCTCCCGCTGTTGTTTACGCAGCTCCTGATGAAGAGCATTTAGTTTGTCCGGAATGCTAAGTGGGATTTCCCCCTTTTCTCTCCCCCCATTTGGAGCTTCTCCTCCACACCCCCCAATAAACTAAATCCTGCTTTTTTGGGACCACACGCTGTTTGACTTAGTTTACTCCTGGCTCTGCGTTCAGGGATCACTCCTGGTGGTGCTCAAGGGACCCTATGGGATGCCGGGCATCGAACCTGGGTCGGCTGCGTGCAAGGCAAACATCCTCCCCGTTTTCCTATTGCTTTGGACCCTGGATTTAATTTTCTTGTTGGGGACACGCTCCACAATGCTCAGGGCTGACTCCTGATTCTGCGCTCAAGAATCACTCTTGCAAAGGAGCGCCAAATAAAGGGTGTTGGGAGGACCCTCCCAGGATGGGAGAAGCATGCTGAAAGTAGACTATGGACCAAACATGATTGTCACCCATTGCCTCTTCTGCAAACCACAACACCCAAAAGGAGAGAGAGAACAAGGGGGAATGCCCTCCCACAGAGGCAGGGTGGGATGGGGGGGATGGGGGGTGGGAGGGATGCTGGGACCCGTGGTGGTGGGAAATGGGCACTGGTGGAGGGATGGGCGTTTGATCATTGTATAATTGAAACCCAAGCACAAAAATTTGTAAATCTACAACGGTATCTCATGGTGTTTCACTAACAAAAATTTAAAAAAAAATGTAAATGATGGAGAATGGGCACTGGTGGAGGGACGGGTACTGGATCATTGTATAACTGAAACCCAAGCACAAAAATTTGTAAGTCTACAACTGTATCTCATGGTGTTTCACTAATAAAAATTTTAAAAAAATGAGTAAATAAAACTATAAAAAGACAAAAAAAAAAAGAAAAAAGAATCACTATGGGATGCCCAGGATCGAATCCCGGTAGATTGAGAGTAAAGCAAACCCCCTACCACCGTGATAATCATCTCTCCAGCCCCACCCTTGGATTTTCTTTCCTTTTTTTTTTTTTAACAGAAGAACTCAGGGAGCTGGCGCTGTAGTACAAAGGTTAGGGCGTGGGCCTTGCTTGCAGCTGATGGTCACTAAGGGTCAGCCCTTGTCATCCACCACTCGTGATCCTCTGAGTACTGCCAGGAGTGACCCTTGAGCATAGAACCAGGAATAGCCCCTGAGTACCTGCTGGCTGTACCCCCAGCCCTCAAAATAATAATAGTACAAATCAGGATCGCTTGATGTAAAAGAAAATCTTGGGGCCAGAAAGATAGCACAGCGGGGAGGACGTTTGCCTGGCACGCGGCCAACCCGGGTTCGATTCCCAGCATCCCATAAGGTTCCCTGAGCACTGCCAGGAGTGATTCCTGAATGCAAAACCAGGTGTTACCCAAAAAGCTAAAAAAAATTTTTTTTTTGGCCACGTTTGTCTTCAAACCTCGTTTTCAACTGGGTCCCTTTCCACAGAGAATTTATTTCATCCTCCAGTACCCTCTGGCTACATAGTTCTCAGGAAGAGCCAGTTTCCTTGTTGCTCGCACTGAGTAATAGATTGAATTGATGAACTTTACAAATATCCGGGCGGGCGGTTGGGGAGGTTCTGGGGACCAGATTTGGAGGCTGGATGGGTTGCTAAAAATTGCTTGAAATTACCTGAACACAGGAGCCAGGACAGGGCCCTCCCCTGAAGCTGAGTCTGCAAACCTTGGGGTGGGGGTGGGGGGGTCGCAGCTTGATTTCGGTTGCGACTGGTGGAAAAATCAAGAGTAAATCGGCTAAAATTATAAAACTTTCTTATTTATGAATAATAAAATATTTAAAATTTACCCGGGGACTCAGGAATTCTACCTACCCTGCAATCTCCGGTTTTATGGACTTTATCTTGGGAGGGGTCTCGTCCCTCCTTGGTTCTAAGCCCACCCAGGGGCGGAGAGAGAGGTCCTTCCCGGGGCAGAAATAAATGGCATTTATTTCTCTTTTCGAAACGTGATTCAAACGTGAGACCCTCTGCGGACCCACCCAGCCACCCTCCCACTCCAGTGATCATTATTGGGTCTGCAATGATTTCTTTAAAAATAATTGCAAAAAAAAAAAAATTCTGCAATGATTTTTTTTTTTTTTTACTGGATCGCCTATTTAGGATGTTCTCTATGGTCGAGATCGCGAAAAGAGAAAAATAAAAGCAGGCGGGTGCAGGCCCGGGTCGGGGCCCAGTGACTCAGCAGGCCGGGGGGGGGGGGGGGACTGTCCACTCGCGGCCTCTGCGCCCCTCCCCCGGCCCGCGGGGCAGGAAACATCCCCGACCCCCCCAACCGGCGTCCACGCCCAGGACGGTGCGGGGTTCCGGACGCCCCCTCCCCCGGGCCGGGCTCCCGGCATGCACCGCCGTCACCCTAGGGGCCGCCCCCGCCCCCAGCCCCCTCCTAGGCGCTCACGAACCCCTCCCGGCCACGCCCCTCCCAAGACCCCGCCCACTCCAGGCCACGCCCAACTCATGCTTAGGTTCCTCCCCTCCGCCCCTCTCGGCCCCGCCCGCTGCTCGTGGCCACGCCCACTTCAGCCCCTGTCCGCTCACAGTAGGCTCCGCCCTTCTCGCCGCAGGCTCTGCTCCGCCTCTTTTCGTGGCCACGCCCATGTATCCCCAGGCTCTGCCCCGCCCCCTCGTCGTGGCCACGCTTACCACTTCACACCAGGCTCCTCCTTTGCCCGCTCGTTAGTAGGCTCCGCCCTTCTCGCCCCAGGCTCCGCCCCGCCCTTGCGTCGTGGCCACGCCCATTCACGCCGCGCTTCGCTCCGGCTGGCTCACGGTAGGCTCCGCCCCTCTCACCTCGGCCTCGGCCCCGCCCCCGGTCGTGGCCACGCCCCTCTGACGTTAAGTAGACTTGTTCACAAGAGGCTCGGCCCCGCCTCCTCGCCGCGGTTCCGCCCCTCGGGCGCCAGGTTCCTCCCCTACTCGCTCGCGATAGGCTCGGTTGCGACCCGGCCCCGCCCCCCCGCCGCGACCCCCGCCCCCACGGCGTTGGGTTCTTGCCCGCTCCAGGTAGACTCGGCCCCGCCCCTACGCGCCGGGTTTCCACCCTGCTCGCTCGCGATAGGCTTGGCCGTGACTCGGCCCCGCCCCTCCGCCTCCGGGTTCTTTCCCTGATCGCTCGCGATAGGCTCGGCTGCGGCTCGTCCCCGCCCCCTCGGCGGCGCGTTTCTGCCCGCTCGCAGTAGACTCGGCCCCGCCCCCTCGCCTCGGCCCCGCCCCTACGACGCCGGGTTTCCACCCTGCTCGCTCGCGATAGGCTCGGCCGAGGCTCGGCCCCGCCCTTCGGCCGCCGGGTTCTTCCCCTGCTCGCACGCGATAGGCTCGGCTGCGGCCTGGCCCCGCCCCTCTCCGCGGCCCCGCCCTTACAACTCTGGGTTCCGCCCCTGCTCGCTCGCGATAGGCTCGGCCGAGGCTCGGCCCCGCCCCCCCCGCCGCCGGGTTCTTCCCCTGCTCGCTCGCGATAGGCTCGGCTGCGGCCCGGCCCGGCCCCGCCCCGCCCCGCCCCGCCCCCGCCCGGGCCCCTGGCGCGCGTCGGCGGGGCGCGGGGCCAGGCGCTCAGAGCGCGGCGCGCGGCGGGCCGGGGAGCAGCTCGGGCGGCGGGTCGGCGGAGCAGCAGGGCCGGGCCGGACTCTCGGGGACCTCCCGCGTCCCCTCCCGGCGCGATGCGCGCGCGGCCGCGGCTCTGGCCGCTGCTGGCCGCGCTGGCCGCGTGGCTGGGCGGCGCGCGCGGCGCCATGGACGAGTGCGTGGCCGAGGGCGGCCGGCCGCAGCGCTGCATGCCCGAGTTCGTCAACGCCGCCTTCAACGTGACCGTGGTGGCCACCAACACGTGCGGGAGCCCCCCCGAGGAGTACTGCGTGCAGACGGGGGTCACCGGCGTCACCAAGTCGTGCCACCTGTGCGACGCGGGCCAGCCCCACCTGCAGCACGGCGCGGCCTTCCTCACGGACTACAACAACCAGGCCGATTCCACCTGGTGGCAGAGCCAGACGATGCTGGCGGGGGTGCAGTACCCCACGGCCATCAACCTCACGCTGCACCTGGGTAAGTGCGCGCCCGGGACCCCGGCTTGCGGGGGCCGCGCCCGGGACTCCTCCCGGCCTGCAGGGGTCACTCCCGGGACTCCTCCTGGGCCTGCAGGGATCATGCACGGTATCCCCGGCCTGCGGGGGTCACTCCCAGCAAACCCCCCCACGCCGTCCCCTACTTCCCCCCCTCCCGCTTGCAGGGGTCACGCCCGGGACTCCTCCCGGCTTGAAGGGGTCATGCATGGGACCCCCGGCCTGCGGGGCCACTCCCTGGACTTCTCCCGGTCCTGCAGGGGTCACACACGGTACCCTCAGCCTGCGGGGGTCACTCTCTGGACTTCTCCCAGCTCTGCGGGGGTCACACACGGGAACCCCTGGCCTGCGGGGGTCACTCCTGGGAATCCCCCCTGACTTGTAGGGGTCATGCACGGGACACCCCCAGATCTGCAGGGGTACGTCCGGGACCCCCCCACCCCACCCTGGGCCTGCAGGAGTTAGAGCCAGGGACGCCCCCCCTGCCGGCAGTGGTCACTCCCTGGACTCCTCCCAGGCCTGCAGGGGTCTCCACCCGGGACCCCCCAGTCCCCCGGCCTTTGCTGGCCTCACTCCGGTGGAGGGAGCAAAGGAGGGGGCTGGGGCAGAGGTTGGGAGTTTCCGGGGCCCGGGAATCTGCTTCTGGGTCATTAAAATAGAAATCCACTTTTCTTTCTCCTTTTTTCCATGCGGGGCTGTTGTTGGGTGGGGATTGGGCCCGGGATTCGGCTTACGCAGGGGCACCGTGTCGGATCCATTCAGGTGGTCCTGGGGTTTGCATCTGGGCAAGTGCCCCGGACCCCCCCTGGGCCGTTTCTGCAGCTGGAAATTCTCTTTGCAAGGCGGGTGGGTTCGCGGCTCTGGAGAAAAGTTGGCTCAGGCCGGTCCACGGCTGCTCGGGGCGTTCAGGATCCCCCCGGGCCGGGCCTGTGTTCCCCGGAGTTGTGCCGGCCCAAGCCCCTCTCTCCACACTGTTGTCCGCTGGCTCTTGCGGGTCCTCGGAGCCTGGCAGGAGGCCGCCGGGGGATCTCTGGAGCTCAGGAAGGGGGAGTGCAGAGAACTTCGAGGTGGCCCACCAGAGAGGATGCACGTGTTTATCCTCAAGTCTCCAAAACCCCCGTTTGATCTAGATAAGTGTTGCTTCCGCGACGACCGTCTATAAACACAGAGACGGATTCTCGATTGTGTCTGAGTGAGAGGATGCTGGGTGTGTGTGTGTGTGTGTGTGTAGGGTGTAGGGGTCCGGGGGGGGGGGCTGCACTTCTCAGGCCGCGGCGGGGAGAGATTCCCGTTTGGCGACACGGATGGACAGTCCCTGAGCCACGCCTGATGGGACCCACGTGGCCTTTGGGGCCATTGGCGTCACAAGGCCCAGAATTGCTCTGTGTGTGTGTGTGTGTGTGTGTGTGTGTGTGTGTTTGGTGGGGGGGGAGGGTGGTCTTTCCCTCCCCCCACACCGTCATCGTGGGGGGTGGGTTAGGTAAGCTCGACTTCCTGCGGGAAGAAGGCGGCGTCCGCTAAAAACGCCACGGAAAGTGGCGTTGGATTTCCGGCGGTGTGGCTGCAAGCCCCCATTGTCTTGGAGTCATCCACCAGGAAGTAGGAACTCGGAGAAGGTCACGAAGCCCGGCTAGCCTGCGAGGCACCTGCCTTTTAGAGGGTCAGGGTCCCCCCCCACCCCACTGTCCTGAGGTGATCTCCCGGGGAGGGGGTGGTCTTCGAGACGTGAGGGTCCACGCCGCTGGGACCCCTCAGGTCTTTGGCTGGTGTCTCCCGGTGGGGTTTGCAGACTTGGCCAAGAGTCCCAGAGACGCCTTGCCAACTCTTCTCGTTTAAATTTTGACGTGGGAAAGTTTGCTGTGTGGAGTCTTAAATGCCCCCCCGTGGGGTCACCTTTTGCCCCCTTGCAAATGTAGTCCTTGCAATGTGTGTGTGTGTGTGTGTGTCGGTCACTCAGAGCCCCTGGGGTCACCTTTTACTCGCTTGCAAATGTTAGCACTGGCGGCCAAGACACTGCCTGGGGTGTGTGTGTGTGTTGGGGGGTACAGTCACTCAGAGTCCCTTCGCCCCAGTTTTTCTGCCTCCCGAGGGCCCTCAGAAGTAGGTGATTTGGGAGGTTCTGGCAGATGGCTGGGCCTTGACAAGGAGACATCCAGTAGCAGGGCGGCCTGGTGGCCCCTGGGGAGTCGCCTCCCTGGGCTGTCAGAGGGGCTGACCGTGGTCACCAGGCCCGGACGCCAACCATCCTTCCACGCCACCCCAGAAAATGCTATGTGCTCTGACTTGTTTTGGTTTTTTGCTGAAAAAAATGCTTCTGTTTGTTGAGCTTGGGGCTTGAAAAAAAAAAGCCAAAAAAAAAAAACACCCAAGTTTCAAAGTGTTCTTGGAAATAGTTTTCATTCCCAGGCAGCTGCTGGAAGCCCGCGCGACCCCGACACAGATCGGAACTGGGTCTGAATTACCGTCCCCGCCCCAAGCAGCCTCACTGGACACACGTGTGTGTGTGTGTGTGTGTGTGTGTGTGTGGCTGGTAGCTCCAACTCTCTGTCCCATTTTGGTATTGGAGGGGGGGACTTTTTTTTTTTTGCTTTTTTTTGGGTCACACCTGGCGATGCACAGGGTTACTCCTGGCTCTGCACTCAGGACTCACTCCTGGCGGTGCTCGGGGGACCCTATGGAATGCTGGGAATTGAACCCGTGTTGGCCGCGTGCAAGGCAAACGCCCTCCCCGCTGTGCTGTCTCTCCAGCCCCAAGGGGGGGGACATTTGAACCACACCCTGCAGTGTGTGAGTCAGGGCTGACTCCTGGCTCTGTGCTCAGGGGGCCTCCTGGCAGGGCTTGGGGGACCCTCTATGGAATCTTCACAGGGTTGTAAGGCTAGGGGTCCCGTGTTCTCTTTCTGGTCCCTTTCTCATTTGAAAAATTTCTAACTGGAGGCCGGGGAGGCAGCACAGCGGGGAGGGTGTTGGCCTGGCACGCGGCTGACCTGGGTTCGATCCCCGGCATCCCAAAAGCCCCCCCTCAAAAAAAAAACACACTAGGAAGAAATTTCCGAGTGCAGAGCCAGGATAGCACAGCTGGAGGATGAACCCCCAAAATGCCAAAAAATACAATAAATTTTCTTCCAACTTGAGTCCCCCACCCCAGCACACCCCTCTGGGAAAGTGTCACCATGCCTGGCCGTGACAAAACACGGGTGCTATAAATCCAGGCGGCTTTATGGTTCGTGCCTGGTCACTCCCTAACTCCTGTTACCTCGTGGGCCTGTTCCCAGGCGCTCGGCCCTCACCTCTTGGCTTCTAAACCCTCCCACCCCCGCTTCGGGTTTCAAATACCCCGGAGCCAGCGATGCGTGGAGCCCCGGGGTGAGCGGGGCGTGAAATTCCCCCTGCTCAGCCTGCCCTGCTGTCCCTGACGGTCCCTGGACCCGGCCCTCGAAGACCCGCCCACCCGGTCCGGTCAGCACGTGCTCAGGGAACCCCAAGATGCAGATGTGTCTGGGGTACTGGACCGAGGGAGAGATTCGGCCTCAAACCAGCAGGGCTGAGGTCAGGAGAGCGCCAGACGGCTGGGATAGAATCTTCTGGATCCTTCTGGAAGCTTCTCCTGCATGCGCACACGTTGATAAAAATCACAGGATCACTGTGCTGTTTGCTTCTGGGTGACACCCTGAGGTGCTCAGGGCTCTGCACTTGGGGATCACTCCTGGCAGGGCTTGGGGGGGACCCTGTGGGGTGCCAGGAATCGAACCCGAGGCAGCTGCCCACCAGGCAAGCACCCTCCCTGCTCTAATGTCTCTCTAGCCCTATGGGGCCATTTTACTTCATTTTATTTGTTTTTGATTTGGAGGCCACAGCTGGTGATGCTCAGGGCTTACTCCAGGTGGTGCTCAGGGGACCACATGGGGTGTCGGGGATCGACCCTGGGTCCACCGTGTGCAAAGCAGACGCCCCTACCCCCAGCGTTTGCTATAGTATCACTCTGGCCTCTATAGGCTCATTTTAACTGACATTTTTTTTTCTTCTTGGGTCCCACCTGGTGATGCTCAGGACTGACTCCTGGCTCTGCACGCAGGAATCACTCCTGGCAGTGCTCGAGGGACCCTCTGGGATGCTGGGAATCGAACCTGGGTTGGCCAGGTGCCAGGCAAATGCCCTCCCCACTGTGCTATCGCTCCAGCCCATCTCTCTCTCTCTCTTTCTGATTGGGTCCCACCCGGTGATGCTCAGAGCTGACTCCTGGCTCTGCACTCAGGAATCACCCCTGGCGGTTCTCGGGGGACCCTCTGGGATGCTGGGGATCGAACCCGGGTCGGCCACGTGCGAGGCCAACGCTCTACCCTCTGTGCTATCACTCAGCCCAACTGACACCTTTTAAAAAAAAATATTTTTTTGTGCGCACGTGCGTGTGTGTGTTGTGTGTGTTGTGTGTGTGTGTGTGTGTGTGTGTGTGTGTTTGTGTGAAATGCGTGTATTGGCTCATCATGTCATCAGCACCCCTTGTCTCACGCCCGGAAAAGGGGACTTGAGTATTCTGCAAAGGGGGTGCGGGAGAGGTGGTCATGGGGTGCAGGGTGCAGTCCGGGGATGCGGGGTGCAGAGGACCCATCCTTGGGCGGAAGGAGTGAAAAGTGGCCGTGAGAACCAGCGCTGGGAGCCCTCCCCCCTTCCCTGCCGTGTGGGGGCAGGAACATTCTTTTGGGAACGGAGTCTTGCGGATTTGACTCTCCAACTTGGACCATCGAAAATGGGATCGTGCCTCGAGCCGGCTCAAGTGTCCCGCCCGGAGGGAGCCCTCAGCCTTATCAGTATCCGGGGACACTCGACAGGGCCCTGGTTGCCACAGATTTGCCTTTGCAAACAGCCCTTTGCGTCAGCTCAAGAATCCGCGTGGAGGGGCCGGAGCGACAGCCCAGCGGGGAGGGCGCTGGGCTGGCACGCGGCCAACCCGGGTTCGATCCCCGGCCTCCCATAGGGTCCCCC